TTTTTTGTAACGTGTATGCTTTGCACTCATTCGACCGACACCCTTTTGAATTCCTTTTCCCATTTCTTTGATCGTTGAACGATCCAACCTTTAATTCAGTAATTCTTTACCAATATTTTTTAAAACTTTCCTTTTCTTTTTTGGATCCAAGTTTTGTTTAATTATCTGTCTTCTTTTCCCCGTTCCTTACTTGTTCTTCCAGTTTTTATCGAAACGAACTAACTAGTTTGTGGTTGGTGGCTCATTATTTGGTAGATTTCATTTCTTTGTTTTTAATGATTTTTCAGTCATCAAAATCATTTCGATCCTAATTCGAATCTATAAATGATTTGATTTGGTTTCGAATCTAATTCAAATATATACCTATATGGAATATATATATATATATATGAGATAATTTGAATTCTGTATAACTTTAAAAAGAGTTTCCTTTGGAAATAAAGAGTCATTTATCTGGTACAAATAATTGCATTTGTCTTTTCCATTTACGAATGTGAAATGTTCACACATTGAATTGTGACTATTGGTGAAAGTAGAAGATATAAGGGTTGGTACAATATATTTATTCTATTAATTAAAATTTTTCTATATTTTACAAAAAATGTTGGTATGTTATTTGATGATTTAATAAAATTTCTTATAGTTAACTTTATATTTATTATCTTTCAATAAACTATAATAATATTAATAATAGAGTTAATAACATTAAAGCAAATATATGATAATTACGACGATAATAAATTATAATTCATGCTTCAAAGAATTAGTAATCAACTTGGCTGTATCTCACTTTTATTCTCCATTCTCTTGGATTTAGTCGATAATATGAAAATGTGGCCTCATTTCGCCCACCGAAACAAAGATTTACAATTAAAGTGGGACGTTTTGTCTCTTCAAATCCAGGGTTCTGACTACGTATTAATTAATTTCCTTATTAACCCTGCCCATATTTAGTATTATAGCTTTCCTTGTACGGGTAATATCCTAGTACTAGGATCAATTAATATCCGGCCGGAGTTAGAATTCACAAAATTAAAATGGAGAATTAACTATAATTGTCTGGATTATATTGATCAACAAGCGAAATCTCATTTCAACGAAATTTTCTTATATGTCCAGCCGTTTTGTTGTAACAAGACTATACTGTATTGCATAAAACATTGTTTTTCATTCTTAAGGCATACTATTTCCCAAATATGTCAACTGAAAGAGCTTCAAAAAACATGCATGGCCTGAAGATGATAATTATATTGATATAGAAAACTCACACCATCTAGTTTAGACGATACTGATGATGATGTTATTGGATCATACAAAAATGTGTTTGATGAACTTTTTGATAATAAAGGAAAATTTGATTCATTAAGTCTTCGGATCAAAACTTTGCAGTTGGACATATCATTGGGGTAAACGAAGAAGCCATCCAACAGATTCAAACAAAATTTATTGATATTGATTGATAAGGGTGGAACTAACTACTTTTATAAAAGATCAACCTTCATTAATATTAAAAGAATGATCTGTGTTTGTTTTGTTGTTTATATTAATATAATAATAAAAAAAATAACGGATTGCGAATTAAGAGTGATCTACATTTTAACCTGTTAAAAATCAAAATGTAATAGTAGTACAAATAAATATAAAACGAATAAACATTCAATGTAATTCGAATAGAAACCCTATAATAATAATAATAAAGGAGCCTGGTTTGATTCGAATCGAATCACTTTAAAATTTGACTCGACTCAATTCGTTCGAGGCTTTACATCCAAACATCCTTTTTATAATTCAGAAATCTCTTCTTCGGTTAAGAAATTACTGTTATGAAGCGATCTTTGGTCTTCAACATCCATCGATTGTTCATCGCCTTCATTTTCAAGATTTAATCATTTGTTAATTATTTGTAAAGTATGTGTTTAACATTAACAAAATCAAAGGTTTCCTATTCGATTTTACTATTACCATTACCATGGTACATTATACCAATACTTGCAATTTTTATATTCAATATTTACTTTTCACAAAAAAAAACCTCAATCATTCTTCACATCATCTCCTAAAATCTAATAAATCTCTATTATAAAAATGTGCGGCTTCCTTGTTTAACACATTTAACTCGTTAACTCGTTTAACACATGGTTAAAAACAAAGCAATATCAATAATCTAAAAACCAAAACAGCCAATCAATTAATTAATCAGACAACGCAAATACCTTCAAGGAATAGCCTCATATAATAATAATGTTATTTTAATTTATGTGTGATCACAATCGCCAAAACGATTTCTGAATTTGCCCAACCGCCTAACCCACCAATAAAATTGCGATTGCGGAGATTGATTATGATCAAACGATTATTTTTCAAACCTGTTGCTTGTATTTTTTGATCGTATCATTCCATGGGAAGGTTTGAAAGTTTGGTGTTTTTATATGTCTATATTAATATGTAAATTGTAAAATGATTGAGCTTACAATGGTCTAGCGCTCTTTCCTAAAAGGTAAATGAAAATATCGAGCGTTTCGTGTAAATCAATTCAATCAGCCAATCAATAATTGACAACATCATTAAATTTTTTTTTTTAAAATTAAAAGTTTTTCCAAAAAAAAAAAAATTTAATTCTTCGTAAGAAATACATAAAATATTTACAACAATGTCAATGCGTTTATTAGGTTTTATAGCAGCAGGAATTATACTTCTTTTTAATTTTTTAGCTTCAGCCGAAGAGTCTGATGTTATTTCGTTAACAAAAGATGACTTTTCAAGCATCGTAAAAGCTGAAAAAGTAATTCTTGTTGAATTTTTTGCACCTTGGTGTGGTCATTGTAAAGCTTTAGGTGGGTTTTTATTTTAGTGTTAATTATTAAGTATAAATAATATATATACACGTATATATATATATATATATATATATATATATATATATATATATATATAAACAAATATATATTAACAAATATATATTAACATAATAAACTATCATCATTTATATAGCACCTGAATATGAGAAAGCGGCCACTGCATTAAAAAGCGATGGTATCAAACTTGCTAAAGTTGATTGTACAGTAGAAAATGACCTTTGTTCTGAAAAAGGCGTCAAAGGCTATCCAACTTTAAAACTTTTCAAGGATGGAGAGGAAACAGATTATAGTGGTGGTAGAACTTCTGATTCTATTATTAGTTTTATGAAAAAGTATGAAATAATAAAATATCGATTTATTCAAAGTATATTTATTCATTTATAATTAACATGGATCTATTTCTTTTTCCCAAAAACAAATCAATTTATAGACAAACATTGCCAGCAATTACTGATGTCAATGTGGATAATTTTGAAACTTTCAAAGATTCAGATAATGTTGTTATTATTGGATTCTTTGATAATGATAGCCAAGATGAATTCAACAGTTTTGCAACCCTTGCTGACCGATTACACAATGAGTACAGATTTGGAGAAACTGCACAACCTGAAGTTCTTGCAAAAGCTAATGTCACAGCACCAAGTGTAGTTTTATACAAGAAATTTGATGATCCACAAGTTGTTCTCAAAGGACCATATACAAAAGCAGAATTGGAATTTTTCGTCAAAACCAATTCGATGCCTTTACTTGCAGAGATCGGACCTGAAAATTATGCAATATATGCCGAATCTGGAATACCACTTGCCTACCTATTCTATGAAACTCCAGAACAACGTAGCGAAATGGGTAAAGAAGTTGAACCTGTGGCCAAAGAATTTAAAGGAAAGGTCAATTTTGTATTCATCAATGCCGGGAAATACGGTCAACATGCGGAAAATCTTAATTTGGAAGCAAAATGGCCAGCTTTTGGAATCCAGAAACCGGATGAAGGACCTAAATTTCCATTCGATCAAAGTAAACCAATCACCTTTGAAAACATTAGGGAGTTTGTTGATAAATTTGTCAAGGGTGAAATTAAACCTAGCATTAAATCTCAACCGATCCCGGAAAATAATACCGAGCCCGTATATGTGTTAGTTGCTGACTCATTTGAAGAAGTTGCTCTTGACAAAAGTAAAGATGTTCTTGTCGAATTTTATGCTCCATGTAAGTATTATATTCGTATAAATATAAACACACACACGCACGCACGCACGCACACACATATTTATTTATTTATTTATTTATTTATCATTTTAGGGTGTGGACATTGTAAGAAACTTGCACCAATTTATGATGAATTGGGAGAAAAATATGCACAATTCAAAGATAAAATTGTAATTGCAAAAATGGATTCAACAGCAAATGACCTTCCATCCAGTGCTACATTCAAGGTTAGCGGGTTTCCAACAATCAAACTTTTTAAAGCTGAGAACAATGAAGTTATCGACTATTCTGGAGATCGATCACTCGAAGACTTTGTTGAATTTTTGAGTAAAGAAGCATTTTATAAAGTTGACGTCAATAAAGTTACTGAACCTGAGCCATCATCTTCATCATCACCATCTTCATCGTCATCTTCATCATCTTCGACATCATTACCTTCACCACAATTAGAAACACAACATGTGGAATTATAAAAAATAATTAAATCGAGATTATTATTTTATTTTTATTATTTTCGTTATTTTTGTTTTTGGTCAAAGAATATTGTTATTATATATATTTATTAATAGTGATAATAGTATTTTTCTTAATATGTACGTTATCAAAAAAAAAAAAAAAACATTAATAATTATATATAAATAAAAAAATATATATATTAATTTTTCCAAAATTATTATTATCATTTCTTCTATTTTAACAAATTGTGATAAAATATTACATCCATAATTACAATACAACAAAACTAAATTCGAACAAATAATAAATAAATAAATGAATGAATGAATGAATGAATGAATGAATGAATGAATGAATAAGTGAGTAAGTGTATTTCTATAATTATTTATAAGATATTGACTTGATACGCATTAATAATTTGAAAATGTGATGATATATATAAATTTTGTTGATGGCGTTGAGATTGTAGATCCCTATTATCTACCATTTATTCATTCGATAAGTAACAGCAGCAAATGGAACAATGGCTTCTGTTCTATAAATAACATACTCTTCATAATTTAATCTATGTCCTACACGTCCATGTACTGAATGACAAGGATAAGGCGGAGCTTTTAAGTGTGGCATATCATCAATTGTCGTATGACATCTTTTTTTTTTTTTGTTTTAAATAATTTAAAAAATTAATTATCAACTAATAATAATTATAATAATAAATAAATAGTTGGTTAATTGGTAGCATTACCTTCCAAGAGCCACAAAGCAAAAAAGAATTGTATACAAATCTGAATCAGTACCTCTTGGTGTTGCATAACTGTGAGCTTTAGACGAATTTGGTGCAAAATAAATTCCTGTACCAAATCTATATATATATATTAATAATAAATTTGTAAACAATAAATGTAATATTAATATAAATATTTTAATAATTATTCTCATTGTCATCATCGTCATCATCATCAGCATATATTATAATTGTCATTCATTACATTACCTTTTAAAAGGATTAGCAGACCCACTTTTACTTATATCAAAGCCATTAGACAAGATGTTACATCCAGCACAACTTTCCATCGAACCCGGATCACATGGCTTATCTTCGTATTTACATTTGACGGATGTCCCATGCCATAAAGGTTTAACATTTGAATCATCCAATATCAATAACAATTCCGCCATATACTCATCAAACCTCATACACACATCTCTACTACTCATCATGAATGAGACAAACTCAACATTCGGAACTCCCATATGCATCGGATGTCGCCAGGTTGTATGAAAATGATCTACTATTTTCTCATTTATTTTACGTGTTCCAGCAAATATTGCTGCTTGACGTAATACCTTTTCCGATGAAAATATTTTTAAAAGTCCTTGAAAATCTGGTCGATGATTCGGATCAATTGCTTGTTCGCACTCATCACAATTACAACCTTGACGTGTTTTATCTTTAATCAGATCCCATTCTTCTTTTGGGATTACTCCTTTGGCATTACTATTAATATTATTATATTGTTGATCCGAATAATCCTCATCTTCGAGATCGTCCCAAAGACTTGCCAATCTTCTCTGTGACATTTTTTTTGAAATAAAAAAATTTTTTTTTATTATAAATGGTAAAATGGATATTAATATTATTTATATTGCAAAATTTCTTAATGTGGATTTCATTATCAATCATGTTATTTTTTATTGGTGGGTTGGCATGTTTGGAAATCAATTTTGTAAATGGTGTCACCATTGTGAATGTGAGGTGAAACGTTACCATTCCAATCAAGTTAATAATATCTGAACGCTTTAATAATATATATCGAATTCGGTATCAATCATTTATTAAGAAAGGCAATTCCGGCTAACATGCTTAAATTGCACCAAAATGGGACCTTTAATTAGAATGCAAAAAATACTTTAATATTTAGAGTAATAAACTTACAAAGTCAAAAAAGGTTGCTGATTATAAAATAACTACTTGCTGGTATTTTGGCACCAATATAATATTATTAAATTTTCTTATACCACAAGATGCTTTGTTAGAGAGAATTCAACTTTACTTTGAAGCAACTTTTACAACCAACTTTATCTGAGTTTTTGAATCCAGAGAAGAGTTTTTGGACATGTATGTAGTTAAAGACACCCGCTGTAATTGGTTATTTGCGGAAATGGTAACTACCATAGTAAAATATTTACGGCTGCCACAAATAATTGCAAGTTTTATTATTGCAAATTTTATTTTTACCAATCGAATTAATCAATTACAATTCAAAAAATTTAATTACAAATAATTTTCTCACGACTAATATGACTAATGATACTAATGACATTAACTATATTAATCTTGAAAACTATTTGCAGAAGTCGTAATTAATTTTGCTGCAGCCATATCTATTTATGGCAATGGTAGCTACTACCCAATAATTTACGGCAAATACCTTTATCGATGTTGTTTATTAGCTTTATGTGTTTTACTGTTAAGGTGGCCATTGACAATTGACTTTTTTATCCAATCAACAGAATGGTCGCAAACATTACGAAATAAAATTCCATCATCAATGTGAAATTCACCAGGACTTTCTTTTATTCTATTATTGATTGTAACTGGTTCTTGTACTTCTTCTATTACTATTCATTATTGATTATCAAGTTACATTATTAGATTTTTTTTTTTAATCATCTTCAGTAGTGTTTGTATTCACTGTATTTGGATATACAAATACAAAATACTAGTAATAAACAAGTCAATCAATCAATCAATTCTAAAAAAAAATTTTCATTTATATTGAATCTCTATTATGTGCCTAAATCCATTGCCCATTCATTATTAGATTCAGCAACAATAGTAAAAGTTTTATTTTTATAATATTGTTGCCAACATTAATAATAAATAATGAGAAATTTTCAATAAATTTGCATGAATTATTTTTTCATCCTGATATCTAAACTTTTCTTTTAAAAAAAGATGTTGGAAACTTTATTATGTTGTAAGAGATCAAGTAAACCCGAACCAATCTCAGTTGTGATATGCAGAAAGTTTGTTGTTATATTATTTGTATCAATAACATTAACTGTTCTTGTCATATTATCAAACGGAGTAAATAAAGATACACCAACTATTATAAGAAAGTATTCTCCAAAGTTTGAGTTCCCTGTACCAGGTGAAGCTAATTGATTAATGAATTAGTTTATCATATATAAGAATGTTGAGTAATGACTTTTCAACTGCATAATATCATTGTAGTTTTTAACGTGACATCTAGCTTTCAATTTAAGATAATTTGTTACTACTTCTTCACCACAGATATCAATGAAAATGGTAAAATTATATTATATGCGATGCACTATACATATATTGTATCATTTATATCAATTACTTAATCAATTTAGGTACTATAAACAATGAATATGCAATACAACCTACTTATGATAATAGCAGCCTTGATTGGAAAGGAAGTTTTTCTCCAGATAATTTATCATTTATTGATGCTAATAGTACGACTCAAAATCAAGGGGATATAACTCAATTAAATTTAATTTTCGTGATTACGGATCCAAATTATAATGCTGCTACAACTAAAGATGTTCCTGTCCGTTTTAGTATTTCTATGCATGATCAAGGTAAAAAACAATTTGTTTATTTTGAATATTGACTAATTGATTGATTGATTGATTGGTAGTTCTTTTTTTAAAATTAGAATATGATCCATATAATGATACACTTGTTAATGTAACTGAGGATTATTCAAGTTTTGTCAAATCACTTCAAAGATATGTTTTATACAATGTAGAAAATGTAAGTGATGTTTAAATGTAAGTGATGTTATTATTAATTATTAAATAACTATGAATGATATATTTTAGCAATATACTTTGGATCTATCAAGAAAACAAAGGATTATATTAAAAGATTCATTTCTAAATAATTTTGGACTTCCACAAAGGTACCCCAACAAACCTTATGTTGTGGCAAATGATCGTAAGTTATACAAATTCTATTGTTATTATGAAATATGCACAAATAAACAAATCAGTAAATGAATTAATTTATTTAGGTTTGATCGCAACAACAGGGGATACAAACTTTACAGCTTTCTTCATACAGCCTCAGAATTTTTTGCTTGAAACTGAGATTGAACAAAGGTAAGTAGATTGAGTGATCAAATTGGTTGATGAATTGGTCAAATAGTAATTCTTAATTTCTAATAATCATTGATTTTTTTTTTTAACAGAAATAAAAGTGTAAGCATATTAATTAATTATTGCCATTATAATTATCATTAATCATTTCATTAACTTTGTCAATTGTATCAATAAG